CCTAGTGAATAAAATCCTCACAGAGCCACAGCCTAAAAAGGCTAAGCTGCTCTGTTGAATCAGGAAGGCCAAACTTTTTTTTGTTAATGCTGGACAGAGATTCAAACAATATCTAAAAGCAAGATTTTCCCTCTGAGACACCCAGAGAAAAAAATTCTCACAGAGCCACAGCCTAAAAAAAGCTAAGCTGCTCTGTTGCATCAGGAAGGCCAAACTTTTTTTGTTAATGCTGGACAGAGATTCAAACAATATCTAAAAGCAAGTTTGTAGTTCCCTCTGAGATACCCGGAGAATAAAATTCTCACAGAGCCACCGCCTAAAAAGGCTAAGCTGCTCTGTTGCATCAGCAAGGCCAAACTGTTTTACTTAATGCGGGACATGCACTGTCATGCATCTTCACAGATCTAATCAGTGCAAAATTAAATAAAGCTTTAGTCTGTAAATCAATTTTTGGTTTATGAAATTTTACTCACTTTTACTGAGAGTTGATAGCCACTGGCTTTGGCAAAATAAAGTATCCTGTTTTCTTAAAAGGGATTCGATAAAATTGAAAATATCCACTACGATTCACACTTAAAAACTGAACTCTGACTGAACTGAACTGTTTACGATCAGGCTTAAGAAATAGTGATCTCCATCAACATTCTCCATGAACATTACACTTTCACATTATTAGCAGTTATTGAGAATGTATGAAATGATCGAGTGATCAGTGTCCACCTTAAAACATTTTTGCGCTAAAATGATACGATAGGTATCCATTTGAAGATGATACAAAGGAACCCAAAATAGATTTACCAAGTTTCGGCTGATGTTTAGAAAATTGAAAAGGGCTGAAGGGCATCACCGTTTGGGCTAAATCCAGTCAGCGACCCTTAATAAAAATCATTTAAGCTTACATAGTCAACAACGACATGAATGCCCGAGCTTCTGACTTGACCATCATCTGCCTCCGTCAGGAAATCCTACGATATTGCTTCTCGAATGAATCCCTCATTTTAATTTCCCCAATTCAGTAATCCAAGACCAAGTACCTTTGCCAGATCTCTGCGCAACGAAACGCTTTCTCTGACTTCTCTGACCGCTTCCCGCTATATTTTCTAGTAGCTAGAAGGAATTTAGTCCTTCTTTGATCGCTTTAAACCCGCTTTCGTCTGCATTTCATCGGCGCAAGTTAAAGGCTCGTGCTAAGGTTGAAACGACAACAACATGATCTTTCCTCTTTGGAAAACCAAACCTGGATGGGTTGACTCGAGCACCAGTACTATCTGTACTATCGACCAAATCATAAATAGCTATAAATAATTGCCCCTGCTACTTCCAAACATCATCTCTACTTAAAAAAGCATAAAATTTTGACTTGCTATGAATTATATCTGTCAGTGAAACCATTTGGTCACTGATACTGCCTACGAGATTACCTTTGTTTGGCAAGCAAGGGTCCAAAGACTGAAGATGCTTTTCCCGACGAACGCGCCACTTTCATGCCAGCTTTGAAATTCGAGCGAGATCGCATTGTGATACAAATAGTATCTGTCTTTAGTCTCAGCTCATCTTTCATCAGTGACGCAAAGTACACAAGTCATGACAGATTAGTGGCTATTAATTAAATCCTAATTAGGTTTTTACAAGAACACCGGAAATTGAAACTTCCTCCCTGTGGTGAATTTCCAAAAGGTATGAATCTCGTCATGTATTAATTGAAAGGTTAATTATTCTACCTACTGCAAAAAAATGTTATTTTGGCTTCTATTTCCTGGTAAGATTATCCAAAACATCCTCATTCTGTGCAAATGCTCCTTTTGCATCCACTGGTATTAGCCCTGTTGTAAACTGGTTAAACCACGACACTACAGTCTATTACGGCCTCGTATTTTGTGCGTTCTCTTGACCTTATATGGTAAAATGACATAATAGTGGAATAATAAAAGGTGTTTTTTAGCATTTATTGTGGACATTTTTGTCTTAATTTGGCTATTTCTGCAAAGTACAACATTTTCAATACAGTACAAACTAGTGACTAAGAACCTAGCTAAATTTCATTGGTGTTTATGTAATAAAATTCCACACTCTTATAAAATATTGAGGAACCTCATTGAAGACCACTTTAAGTTGTCTTAGTTACAACGATTTTTTTCCTTCAGAATTAAAAAAGAACCTATTTATTTTAGAAAAATACCCAAATTTCGCAAGAATCTGTTCAAGCCAGGGAAATGCGGGTTCTTACACGCGAGTTTTTAATGTATTTTGACCAGTCCGAGTTAAAATTTTTTTGGGCTGTCAACATGACCGGCACTGTTCAAAAATCAGTTCGAGCACTGGCTTAATACCTCCTTATTTACATAGTATTATTCTTACACACTCGAAGATAGGAATCTACAAAATGGAAAAGCCTTAAAGGAATAGCTATTTCAATTCGAGAGGAAGAATAGCTCCTTCAGATTTTCTTAAAACAGCCTAAGTAAAATAAACAGAGGTGAACCCGAACAATCCGCATCAA